CCGCCTATTGCCTTGAGAATATCTTGGCATAGACATGGTGCTTGCCATATTTTTGGAAGAGAACTTCACCAAATCTTTGCCCATGAATTGCGGGCCATTGTCGGTACGATGGATTAAAGGATGCCATATTGACAAATGATGTTCCTCCATATGAAACGCTCTATGTCTGTCTGAATCGTGGTCATCATGGGCTTTGCTTCTACCTATTTGGTGAAGTAGTCGGTTGCCACGATCGTCATGCCTTTGCCCCCAGTAGTCTGGCTGGTGATTAGCTGGGAATCGGGAATAAATTGAAAGCTTTTCACCGCCAAGTCTTTTGTCATTCATTCGAAGGCCTGCTCTAGTAGGGCTTTCTTCTCTGCTTCGTTATTAGATGCTTTGAAGCTTAGAGTGATCGCCTGCTCGAGCATTGAAACGTCTGGGGTGGTAAGAACCACGGCTGCTCATGAGCTTTTGTAGTTGGATGCGCCATCGACATGCAAACGCCAGAAATCTCCATTGAGGGAGCAGGTGTGGCTAAAGTGTGCTCAGCTGCCTTCAGGGCGCCGTTTGGGCCGTTCTGTTGCGTTGTCAAGGCTAGGCTTGAAGGCGCGGTAGGGAGCTGTGGAGCTGGGGCCATGTTACATGTAGCAGGAGATGCTCAACTTCCGGTATTAGGCCACTCTAGAGTTGAATCTTCTGGGGCGACGAGGACAAAACTTGCTTCTGAGTGTTCCTTCTAGTGTTTGTCTGCCATTGGCGTGTCTTTTGGGCCGAGTTGTTGTGTTCGTCAGAAAACTTTGCATTTGCCAGGGTCTATGCCTTTATCGTCGTAGGTTTGGATTCGGCAGAATAATGCATCATGATGATGACTGCGTGCATTTGAAGGTAAAACTTAAGCTTTTGGGTTACAACAACTATCGCCAAAGTTAGCTTTTGAATTTTTAATAGCATCGAGAAGAGCTTTTGAACTGTAGAATACAGGTAGTCGGGCCCCCAGCTCTTCTCGCATGATGGTAGAGCTTATTGCTACTTTAAATACCGTCAACATACGAATAAGTCCTCCGTTGCTACTATGGAGGTGATGTCGGGTACTTCTTCAAGTCCTTGAATGTGCATTGGCGAGCCTCATCCCAGAGTGCATGCTTCTCTGCCAAAGCAAAAGAGTCTGTTTCATGATCAATTTTCCGAATAGTAGGTGGTCTGCTGGAAGTCCTTTTTGGAAGGCTGCTCTAGCTATCGAGTCGTTGCATCCGACTATTTTTGCCTTCTCTACTTTGAACCTCCTCACATAGTCGCGAAGCGACTCCTTTGGGTTCTTCTTGACGTCGAACAAATGGTCAGACTTCTTTTTGATCGAGCGATATGATGATATTCTTTGGTGAAAACCAAAGAAAGTTCGTAGAAATTTTGGATGGATTGTGGCGGCAGGGTGTAGAACCAATCTTGCGCCTCGCCTTGTAGAGTGGTGGCGAATATCTTGCACATGAGATCATCGTTGTTTCGATAAAGGATCATTGCGCTTCGATAGCGCTTTAAGTGTCTCTCCGGGTCGTCATCCCTTTTGAAAGATGTGAAATGTGGCATGCTGAAATCGCGTGGAGGCTCTGCCTGCTCGATCTCGTCCGTGAAGGGTGACCTGCTTATGTTGGTCATGTTCCGTCGTAGTACCTCGTCGGTGACCTCGTTGCGTTGGAAATCATGCAATCGCTTGGTCAAAAGTCTCTCTACTTCTTCCTGAATTTGCCTTTGTTGGGGTAGCGGAGCTCTCGGCTACCCCCAACCATGACTTGCTGGTCTAGGCTGCTCTTCCATGTGTTTGGATCGTCTATGTCGCAGATGCAGTGCATATGGTGCGTTCTTAGCAGGCGAACGAGTTCTTCGCAGGCTGCTGGTTGAACTTGAGCTGGATTGAGTGACTGCTTCTCTCCGTCTGTCGGGCTGCCTACTCCGATGTGAGGTGGATGATGCTCCTTGCGGGCTTAGCCGCAAATGAACACTTCACCTGGAAGGCTGCTCATGTTGACTATCCGAGTGTGACCCTAACCGTGAATGTATGCTCGTTTGTGGGCCTAGTCGAGAGTGCACGCTCCTCCACGCTCTAAGACGGGAGTATACGCTATCTCGGGGGCCCAATCGGGAGTGTATACTGCCTGAACGCTCCGTTCGTGGTTGGTCGAGTGGCTGCTTACCGGGACGCTGCTGGAGAGGTTCTTTGTCTGCCCTTGTCCTACTTCGGAACATCTCGTCTGCGGTACGTTACATCTCGGTGCGTTGCAAGAGCCGGTTTACCAAGGTCGTCTGCTGTGCGAGAACGCTTGTCAACTCTATGACCTGTCGTAACAAGTGTTGTTCTCCATTTGGGTTAGAAGAGCTTGGAAGGAATGTGCCTCCTTGGGCAATGGAAGAGTGGTAGACTCCGGGCACGAGATTTGAATTGGGAAATGTCAAATTCGTGAAAAAATGTGGTGAGAATGCCCCTGGCTCGATGGTAGGTCCGAATGGTTAAGATAGTCTTGGGCCGACTTGGGCTGCTTGGAAAACCACTGGAGCAGGATGGGCCGTGAGAGTAGGCTGCTCGACGGAAGCAGGCTGGACCACGGGAGTGGGCTGCTCGTCGGGAGCAGGCTGGGTCAAGAGAGCAGGCTGCTTGGCAGGAGCAGGCTGGGCCAGGGGAATGGGCTACTCGACGGAAGCAGGCTGGGCCACGGGAGTGGGCTGCTCGACGGAAGTAGGCTGGACCACGGGAGTGGGCTGCTCGTCGGAAGCAGGTTGGGTCATGAGAGCAGGCTGCTTGGCAGGAGCAGGCTGGGCCACAGGAGTGGGCTGCTCGACGAAAGCAGGCTGGGCCACGGGAGTGGGTTGCTTGTCTGGAGCAAGTTGGGTCACGAGAGCAGGCTGCTTGGCGGGAGCAGGCTGGGCTGCGAGAGCAGGTTGCTTGACGGGAGCAGGCTGCTTAGTATGTGATGCATGCGAATGCGAGGCTTGGGCCCAGGCCCGTGCAAACTTGGATGGCACGACTTGGGCCGTGGCCTTGGTGCCGTAAGCCTTGGATGACATTGCTCGAGTCGTGGTGAATGCTCCATGGACCTCTCCACGGGTGGCTACCGAGGTAGCCACCGTGGTGGTTCCCATGGTGGAAACTCGTGGTGGTGGTGCTGCTCCACTTATTGTCGCATTTAGCCTCACGGATCTTCGCAATCCCATTTCTTGAACATTAGAATTTTCACTTGTGGAAATTTCTAAATTTCTAGCCATTATATTTTGCTTATACGTTTTATCAAAGAACCTTTGCAAGTAAAAAATTCTAATAATAAGAACGTATGAAAAATATTCAAATGGACTAGAAAATAAAGAAAAAACCTTTTTGTGCGAGAGTCTTCTACGAGTATGGATTTCAACTCTCAATGAAAGCACCAATTTGTGGATGCAAATTTTCTCCTCTTCGATCTTGGATGATTTTGCACCTACAAAACAACTAGCACCTTAGGTTAAGGCCAAAAGCCTCACGCGCCCACGATGAATTGGGGGGGGCTTTGGCCGAAGAACCTCCGATGCTAAAGTTAGAATTTTAGAGAGAAAAAGTGTTTAGAGTGTTTAGGATTTTTTGTAAGAGAATTGGAATTGGCTTTTTGGTGAGAAATGAGAGTATATTTATAGGGATAGGAGGTGGCTAGGGTTTTTTGGGTTTGATTTAGGTTTAATTAGCCAATTTATTTGGCTATTAAACATAAAATGAATGTTTTGGTGGTTTTTTGTATAATTGGCTAATCAATGTCACAAAAAAGGAAAATTATGGTGAAAAAAGAAGGAAATGGCCGGCTCCCTTTGGAGAAGGAATAAACGGCTTTTAGGGTGATTTTTGGGCTTAATTTGGTGATGTAATTAGCCTTTAATATATTGATTATATTAATTGGTTGAGGATGTTATGGAATGTTTGAAATAAATGGCTAATTGAATAAGGAAAAAATGAGGTAAAAACATATATGGAATGAAATAGGTTTTGAATTGTTACCCATTTACTCCTGACTTGGTTGATGGATGATTCTCCACTGCTCGCATGTAGGAAACCCGGTATGCCTCGAGAGTATTTTTGTCCTCTTTTGTCCAAAAGTCCACGTGTCGCTTAGTGAATATTTTTGGCTCCACAAAGATCATACAAGTAATAATTGACTGCTTTTATATGCATCGATCCCTCTGATAATTTCTTAATGTGTGAATGGATGATATCAACAATTAAAACATTGTTACGGTTTTCTGTGTTTAATATATTTTGAACTCTTAATTACTTTGATTCCCATGTTTATTCCATGCTTACAACTACAAGTGACATTTTAATAAGCACAGATATCGAGCTGTATTGTAAATATTGTTAATTTGGTAGTCCACAAATATGCATATAGGGCCAATGTGTAATATCTTACTACTTTAGTTTCTTATTTACGTGACCCTTAGGCCTATAAATAGGCATGCTAATGTGAAATATAGCACACTCGAATTTCTCTCACTCTCTTTTGTCTCTCTCTATTTCCTATACTTCATCATCGAGAGCTCGATATTATTAATATTTTTATTCATTAAAATGGTATGAACTAGTAAACACATAAAATTTTAGCTTATATATTTATTTTCTCCAAAATACTTTGTTGTCCCATCTTTTGGACTAACTAGTTAGTCCATTGACTATGTAAAAGGGGAGGGACCCTAGTCCTATAAAAAAGGGATCTCTCACCCTCATTGTAATTAAAAAGAACAGACTCTACCATGACTAATCCCTAGATGTTTAAAAATTAAGAAAGGGCATATGCCTAGCCCGCTTAGATCCGCCTAGGTCACGACTTTCACTTAGACATAAAATAGACAACTTCTATTTTGCATTTTATTTTTCAATACATTGGACGAGATACTAGCGCCTACGGCCTATTAGAACCTCCCTAGCCACTTTACCCTGTCAAAGATAACAAGTCCCCTTGCACAATGTAATCTATATTTACATAGTAAAAACGGAAACTACACCAATGTAGACGCAACCCCAACTCGGATTAAAATTCGATAAGTACTCGGCTTGGGTAAAATACTTAAATTTTGGGGTCTCCCAACATGACTGATCATGTATAATAGTGTAGATGATTTAAGTCTATGTTCGTGAGATTAAACATTCACTAGTTTTAACAACGAGGAAGAAAATTTATTAACGAAGGTATTAGAAAATTTATTAACGAAGGTGTTAATCTATGAAGAAGCTGAAGATTGTGAAGAAGCTCGCAAAGTCCAAATGTTGTTGGGATCAGCATGCATCTGATTGTAATAAACGACAGAAGGGCTCTCATGATTGTGCACTCCTTCATATGTGGTTATAACATAGCTCGCATCATCTCGGTCCCTCTCTACCCTCTTCTTTACATTGCAGCCTCCATTTGAACATTTGTAGTAATTTCTGTCGCATAATTTAGTAAAAGTTAAATTTGTCTCGACAATATATTTGGTATGGGCGAACCTTAGAAATATTTAAAAATTAGACATAAGTGATAACATTTTCTATGAGAAATTACTAGAAATAAGATTACAATTACTATATGGAAGAGCCAACCTTAGAAATATTTCATGAGGGATCCCACTTCCATGTACATATTCAGTGCTATGGTGAAAGAAGAAATTATGGAATCCGGCAATCGGACTATGTATCCGTGCGGTCCCAGTCACACAAATATCCACATACAACACCCCTTGTTTTTGTGTATATATGGGGACGATATTCGTGGTCCAGACGCCCGTATTGAATTCAGTTAGAAGTCAATAGATGAGATATCAAAATCTTACGACTTTCAACTGACTTTATTAAAATTATTAATATATTGGGTCCAGTATACGTTATATTATAAGGAAAACTAATGAAAAAGTGTTTGAAAATTTTGAGTTTTAATGATAATGACAAAATAAAGGGTAAAATGAATAGTACCAGGTTTGACTTTTTAGTGTAAAAATATGGTTTTTCGTTAAAGTGAACAGTACCGCGGGTTTTTCGTTAAAACTCCCATAATAATATGCAAATGAATCGTATTGAGGACCCCAACATATCGAATATGCAAACTAATGATGACAACCCAAGCAGCAAGTGATCAATTAACTTCATTATTCCAGAAAATTAAACTGATTTTATATTGGAAAGTAATTGAATTGGTTATACATATCGCCCCTATATATTTGCATGTATTACACATTAATTGTGGGTTTAAGAACTTAAATCAATGTATGAGTGATATACAAGCAATGAATATATAATTGTGTAAACGAAGGGTTGCTTATCACCTATTCTTTTTTATACTCATACTATACAAGTAAACATGCTCTTAACGTTGTCCACCCTTATCCTACTATCATCTCCGCCCCTACTCACTCTATGTGAGAGAACTAGGATAAAAGTTGGAAAACAATTAGGTGCATGCATGTATTATTACTCTTAACCTCGTCGAATGGTATCAGATAAATAACCACACGTATATAGAAGAAAATCTATACTGTAATTGCCTCACAATTATCCCTTTTAAAAGTTATATATGCATATCACAAGGAGCACAAAAGGCGTGCGACGGTATACCTCCGATGGCATGAAGAGGTAGAACTGCAGCTCAATCAGCTGTGTAACGATTGTAATATATAATATAAGTACCTCTAATATTCAGGATTTAGCACAATCTGAATCATTAATAAGGAAATGAAGTAAACACATGCGGTGCTAATCTAAAAATTTGGTACGGTAATAATAATGAATTCTACTATACTAAAAGTTTAGTACAGTAATTAGTATAAGATTTCGGTATGGTAACCGTACTAAACTCAACCCTACAGATTTGTACGCCACAGATCATGACTAGCTGCTGTACGCACGTTTACTAGCAGTGGTACTATAGATAAGGTTATAAAGACTACTAGTTTCAGTTCTCATTAGTGGCTCAAATTACTTGTTTTATGTTCGGCCATGAATGAATGTATTGGCAGACAAACATGTACATATCAATCTACGTCGCATGCCCGTACGCAAAACTAATTTCAGCTGTAAATTTTTTTATTATTTTGTGTGTATTTTATACATGAAAAGTTTATATTGAATAGTTTTCCTTCTAGTTGCAATGAGACATTTGTGAAAAAACTCAACAGCTATCGAACTATATATGCATGTGATTACTACTGAACTACTAATCCGACTTTGAAACTTTATCTTTATTCAAGAATTTAACAACAAATAAATCAGGTGCAATTAATGAACCCAAGGCGTGATCCAAGTTTTTCATTGTTTTATGCACTATATTTCTTTTTGATAAGTTATGCAGTAAACAGTATAATATCGTCTCTCTAAAAACAAACGGAAAACAATATGGATGATATATAAATAAAATAATTGATCGACAAAAATAAATAAATAAAAGAATTGATGTCCTCCTATATTTAAATATTAGAATAATTACCTTGGATTTGGGCTGTTTTTGACCGACTTCATTCCATACTTCCTCCACTTGAATCCATCATCCATGACCTCCAGCTCCGATTTTGTTCTAAATGCAACTCTGTGATTTCCCCCTTCCACCTTATTAAGCTTGTTTCTCCTCACCTCAACATTCCTGCGGTATTTGCAAATTGTAATAAGTCTTATTTCTATTTACTTTCAAACCAATAATATTACCCCTAAATTTTTAAAACGAAAAAGAAAGTCTCTTTTCTTAGTTACCAATTAATTAAATCTAAAATAATTAAGAGAGAGAGCTTGCTAATTAGCTACTAGCTAGCTAGCTGCCAGTGAGCAAGCTTATAACTAATTATACTTTATTTTTTAACCTTATATCCCAAAAGAAAACGAAAAGAAGCAAGGAAATCAGATATTGATATATATATATATATCATCACTTGCATATTATTTCTTGATGCAGCACCACCACTTGATCCACCAGAGCCAGCACCACCCGCAAAATTTTGGGACGACGAGCCAACACTTTGCGACGAAGAAGAATCTTGATGATCACGACTAAAATCATACTCATCAAGCATGAGATAGTTTGAAAGCTCATCAAAATCCATCGGAGGCGGATCGACGATGTACTTCTCTACAAAGTGATTAGGGTTAGGGTTTGGATCCTCATCAAGACAGTCCATTATTAGAGCTGACTGGACTCTGGAGGAGTAAATGGTAGTTGAGTAAATAAAATGCTTAATTTGGTTTTATCTTACTTTTGTTAGGCGTGGTTCCTCATATAAATAGTAAAACATATTAATTCCTTTTTTATTGTTTAAGTTGCTTTGCTCCTTCGTACAACTTTCCCCGAAGGATGCCATGAAGCTTCTTCGGTTGGGCCACGTGGCAGATGTAAGTCATTGTGATGACGTTCTCGTGAAGACGTAAGGTTATTTTGCTTTTAGGGTATGGCAATTGGGACCCCTGAACCCATAATAATGCATGTTTGTTTTGATAGGCAGGAGGACGCTTGAATTGTGGTGGAGGGAACTGAAGGCGGCTCCTCTATTAAGATACTTATCTATACAGTAAAATGATAATACTTTTATTTCTTCTCACACGTCTCTATGTATCATTTTAGAATAATGTGAGGAAGACCAAATATGACCAAATTTTGTAAATTAAATAACAGAAATTGCTGATTGATTATTATTTAAATATTAATTAACGTGTTTATTTTTTATTGATAATAAATCACTTAATTTTGCTTATTTCTTTTTGATAAGTTATGCACTACTCAGGCCTACCACCTAGGGCCGTTGGCCACCAGGGTGGAGCCAGGGGCCGAATGGCCACTCTGACCCGAATAGAAGACAGAGCGGCGCCCATGGCGATCAAGCATGATGATATATGTGGAAAAAAAAATCACAATTTCACTCAACTATACCAAGGTCTAAAATATCGATATTATCCCGATATTTCCATCGAAATTTCCGTGTTTTTGGAGTACCGATATTTCCGATATCATCGATATTTTAGACCTTGATAGGAACTTTATGTGGCACTAAGTCACTCATGTATCTTACCATGCAATGTATGAAGTGTAAAATATTGTACTAATTCATTATATATAAATGATTATGGTGTGTTTAAACTTCTTTCATTAATTACTACATATTTCTACACTCACAATGTTTGTCAGCTCGCTATATAATCAACTTAAATCAGTTAAATTCATCATGCAATGCATTTTCTTCCAATTTTTTTGTGATAAACTAATAGATAATTGACTAAATAAACATCCTGCAAAGTTTCAATAAAAATTTCCAAGTTTTTCTTACAATTTCCGTGGTTTTTATTCAATTTTTATCGATATTGATAATATCCTGATATTTCCCTTGAAATTTCCATGTTTTTTAACAATCGATATTTCCTACATCATCAATATTTTAAACCTTGGACTATACCACCTATGGTTCCCTAGCCACCACTCGTAGCACCTGGCCACCACCCCGCCACCACCCTCTCACAATCATGTCCTAACAAATAGTTGATGACTACTAATTGAGTGCATTATTTTTACCAAATAGTTGATTGAAGCATTATTTTAAAAAATAATTTTTTTTAGTAAGTACGCACATACCACATCACTTTTATACAAAATTTATCAAATACTAAAAATTGCTGATTTTGTTCACAGCAGATTTAAAAATTAGTTTACTAAATGCTAGATTGCTTTTTTATTTTTTTTTCACAACTGATTTCTCACGGAGTTATTTAAAGGGAATTTTAACGAAAAGCACCTGGTACTGTTCACTTTAACGAAAAACCACATTTTTACACTAAAAAATCAATCCTGGTATTATTCACTTTACCCTTTATTTTGTCCTTATCATTAAAACTCAAAATTTTCAAGCCATTTTCATTAGTTTTCAAGCAAGTCAAGTCATTTCTCCCATTACTGCACATGATATAAATTCCAAACTTCAGAACAAAAATGTAAGAGCATCTTCAATAATATAGCCAAATGGGTAGGCAAACTTTATTTGATGAGCCAAATAAATAAATTGTTGCTCTAATAGTGAAGGGATTGGGCAATTAAATAGACAAAATTTGCATATTCTTCCAAATTAGACAATATTGCTTCAACATGAGTAGGCAAACAGCGCCCACATCCTTCTGTTATAAAATATTCTCTGTGATCCGTCAATTAGGTTGTACCATTTATCTTTTTGGTGAACAGCTAACAAAATGGTTGAAGAAAATAATACACACTTTCACTAGGGAAATGAGTAGACAACATGCTACATAAGTCTGTATGGTACAGTTTTACTTATTTTGTTTTTCTACATCATTGATTCATTGGAGATGCTATGAGTCAATTGTGCTTACATGTCATATCTAGGCCTGGCAATTCCTGACACGACCCGATAACCCGACACGACACGACACGAAATTAACAGGTGTTCAGGTCGACACGATAACGAAACGGGTCGTTATCGGGTAACCCGATAAGCACCTGTTAAGATAACGGGTTTGTTCGGGTATACACGTGGGTAACACGATACACGATAAGCAGAATATTAATTTAATAATTTATAACCCTAAAAAAATACTATAATAATTATATATATATATATTAATTTAACAATTTTATACCCCTAAAAACTATAATAATTATATAGATATATATTAAATTAACTATAATAATTTATAATAATTTATATATACTATAATAATTATACCCAAAATATTAACTATAATAATTATATATATATATATATTAAATTTTATACCCCTAAAAACTATAATAATTATACATACAAAATAAATAGATTTAAATCTACTCAATAAATAAATATATATATACACACACACACCATTGAACTTCATGGGATACGAATTATACGAAACTAATTTCAACGATCCAACCATCAAACATGTTTGTATATACTTCGAGATCGCATCGCATACGCCAAAAATTGCAAAAAAACAAACATTCAGAGAGCAAGTAACGGGACAAAACTTTTTGACGGTTATAAACGAAAAATCACGATTTAACGGTCATTTTAACTCTGATTTTGATGATTTTTTACAACCACACTCCTTGACCCTATATGAATACAATGATTGAATTCGATCTTCAATTTAAAATATTTACACAAGTGGATACCACAAAATCTTATGTTACACTTAATAAAAGTATGAATAAACTCTTAAGTATTAGTGAATCTATTGTTTTGATGGGATGCTCATTATACACAACTAGTTTCAATGATCCAACCGTCAAACATGTTTGTATATACTTCGAGATCGCATACGCCAAAAATTGCAAAAAACAAACATTCAGAGATCAAGTAATGGGACAAAAGTTTTCGACGGTTATAAATGAAAAATATCACGATTTAACGGTTATTTTAACTCCGATTTTGATGATTTTTACAACTACACTCCTTGACCCTATATGAATACAAGTAATGAATTCGATCTTCAATTTAAAATATTTACACTAGTGGATACCACAAAATCTTATGTTATACTTAATAAAAGTATGAATAAACTATTAAGTATTAGTGAATCTATTGTTTTGATGGGGATACTCATTCTACGAAACTAGTTTCAAAGATCCAACCGTCAAACATGTTTGTATATACTTCGAGATCTCATACGTCAAAAATTACAAAAAACAAACATTCAGAGATCAATTAACGGGACAAAACTTTTCGACGGTTATAAAAAGAAAAATCACGATTTAACGGTCATTTTAACTCTGATTTTGATGATTTTTTGCAGCTACACTCCTTGACCTTATATGAATACAATGATTGAATTCGATCTTCAATTTAAAATATTCACACTAGTGGATACCACAAAATCTTATATTATACTTAATAAAAGTATGAATAAACTATTAAGTATTAGTGAATCTATTGTTTTGATGGGATACTCATTCTACGAAACTAGTTTCAATGATCCAACCGTCAAACATGTTTATATATGCTTCGAGATCGCATACGCCAAAAATTGCAAAAAACAAACACTCAGAGATCAAGTAACGGGACAAAACTTTTCGACGGTTATAAACTAAAAATCACGATTTAACGGTCATTTTAACCTCGATTTTGATGATTTTTTACAACTACACTCCTTGACCCTATATGAATACAATGATTGAATTCGATCTTCAATTTAAAATAGTGGATACCACAAAATCTTATGTTATACTTAATAAAAGTATGAATAAACTCTTAAGTATTAGTGAATCTATTGTTTTGACGGAATACTCATTCTACGAAACTAGTTTCAATGATCCAACCGTCAAACATGTTTTTATATATTTCGAGATCGGATACACCAAAAATTGCAAAAAACAAACATTCAGAGAGCAAGTAACGGGACAAAACTTTTCGACGGTTATAAACGGAAAATCACGATTTAACGGTTAATTTAACTCCGATTTTGATGATTTTTTACAACGACACTCCTTGACCTTATATGAATACAATGATTAAATTCGATCTTCAATTTAAAATATTTACACTAGTGGATACCACAAAATCTTATGTTATACTTAATAAAAGTATGAATAAACTCTTAAGTATTAGTGAATCTATTGTTTTAATGGGATACTCATTCTACGAAACTAGTTTCAATGATCCAACCGTCAAACATGTTTGTATATATTTCGAGATCGCATACGCCAAAAATTGCAAAAAAAAAAACATTCAGAGAGCAAGTAACGGGACAAAACTTTTCGACGGTTATAAACGAAAAATCACGATTTAACGGTTAATTTAACTCCGATTTTGATGATTTTTTACAACTACACTCCTTGGCCTTATATGAATACAATGATTGAATTCGATCTTCAATTTAAAATATTTACACTAGTGGATACCACAAAATCTTATGTTATACTTAATAAAAGTATGAATAAACTATTAAGTATTAGTGAATCTATTGTTTTAATGGGATACTCATTCTATGAAACTAGTTTCAAAGATCCAACCGTCAAACATGTTTGTATATACTTCGAGATCGCATACGTCAAAAATTACAAAAAACAAACATTCAGAGATCAATTAACGGGACAAAACTTTTCGACGGTTATAAAAAGAAAAATCACGATTTAACGGTCATTTTAACTCTGATTTTGATGATTTTTTGCAGCTACACTTCTTGACCTTATATGAATACAATGATTGAATTCGATCTTCAATTTAAAATATTTACACTAGTGGAAACCACAAAATCTTATATTATACTTAATAAAAGTATGAATAA